TGCTGATTACACACGATCGGATGAGACAAAATGTCCCAAAATGTCCCCCTCGTCCTTTGATCCCCCGCCCTCTCCTCACACATGTTTTTCATTCATGTTCGGATCAGGCCGCAGCGCCGTTAGCCTCTACCTCCACGTCTCCCCGGGGACCTGCGTGGCCCTCTTCCCGGCCCCTCCCCCTCCTCACAACAGAACTGCGGTATCCAGGAGACACGACACTCCGCCTCCCCATTGGCTGAGGAGGGCCGGGGGGGGTGGGGCTTGTGTGTGGAGAGAGAGAGGAGGAGCAGAGGAGCGGGGGGAGTCCAGGGATGCTGAGGAGAGATGCTCCGGACCATATGAGACCCAAAACGCACGGAAATAAAACGAAAGAACACAACTGTGAGACCTGAGAAGACCGGACCGTGCTGGTATATCTTCAACTCAGCCAACAATAACTCCAAGTAGGAACCAACATAATATTTTGACAACCAGGATTTGATTAATTAAGCTTCAGAGCCTGTCCGCAGTACGCCGTCTACATGAAGGCTCAGATTGTGCATTGTGAAACCGTATTGCCCCAAAGGAAAGAGGCTAGTGGAGTTAATTAGCCCGGCCATCTTCTAATAGCTCGGTGTTTATCTGGATCTGCTGCATTGTGAGGACGCTGGTGGGAGACAGAAGAGGAGAAGGGAGGTGTCTGCGATTCAAAGAGGACTTGGCTACCACGTTCGGATTTGCACGGCGTATTCTTGCTAGCGTTTGCAGTAAGACACTTGGAGGACCACCAAAATGCACAAGTACTGACTCTGAATGTGCTGATTTCTAGACAAAAAATACAAAAAAATAGTGCGAATTCTGAGTTAACTAGACTAGCCGAGGATCTTGTTGGACCTTTTGCAAACAGCTGATGTTGCGGTGGGCAAAGCTACGAGGGGAGGTGCCTGGGTTTTCAAAGCAGAAGTAGCAGGAGGAGGAGAACCAGAGGAGGCCCACTAAATTAAGACAGACTTCTACTGGGGAAACTTTAAAGTCTGTTGCAAAAAAAACAAACCAAAAAAAAGTTAAATAATAACAAATAAATCAAGCTTCAATTACAGTTTGAGCCTGTGTTCCTCTTGTCAAAACAGGAGGGGCAGGAGAACGAGGAAAAGCGGTGCAGGAGCATGCTAAGCTCCTAAATAGTATCCCAGGACGTAGCCACATCCCGATGCTAACCGGCCTGTAGCTTCTCCCTGGGGCAGGCCAAGGTGGCAGGAGAGGCGGAGGAGAGAGGGAGGAGCGCCGCTGTGGAGGAGAGCGCTGCGGTGTGGTGTGGAGGTCTGAGGGACCGGAGGGACAGGGCCCGCGCGGGGAGCCAGTCGCCGGAGGGGGAGGGGCCAGAGGCGGTGTCTGGCGAGCGGGACGGGCTGATGGCGAGGGGCACCGGCTCGGGCCGATGGGGCAGGCACAGGATGGGACTGTTCAACACCCTGCTGAGGTGTAACCTGCCCCCTGACACGCAGAAGGTGGTGGTCTTCGTCATCATGATGCTCCTCATCATCATCAACGTGGTCCTCATGTTCCTCCTGGCCTTTCAGTAGAGCTGGAGAGGAGCGGCTCTGGGGGAGCTCGACGATGGACTATGGGCTAGACTTAGACGCACCACCGAGGAATTATCTGTATTCTCCAGGGCATGCACACAAGGCAAGTGAAGTGCCTTGCCCATGGACACTACAGCAGGATACATAGAGGGGATTGAACCATCAGCCTCTATTGGACAGTCAAAACTCTTTCTTGATTGAAAATGCCAACAATGTATGCAGATGTAAGTGACAAGGCAAGTAAAGTGCCTTGCCCATGGAGTTGGAGCATGCAGCAGAATGTGTAGAGGTGATACAACCACCAGCCTTTAGGGGTTATGCTACCTCTATTGGATGCTCAAAGTGTTTTTTTACATGAAGGGTAAACCAATTACAGTGTGTGAGGTCATAGTCAGAGAGGCAAGTGAAAGTGCCTTGCCCATGGACACTCCAGCAGGACACACAGAGGAGATCAAACCATCAGTGTTTTACATGAAAGATAAATAATAAGATAATTGGACTCAAATACAAATCGTATGTGCAGATGTATGTGGCAGAGAAAGTGAAGTGCCTTGCCAAAGGACACACCAGCATTGTGTATTGCTAGTAGTGGGGATCAAACCACCAACCTACAGATCATTAAGGCACTTTTCTCTACCAACCAAACGGCAGCTCCAATAAGTACTTTGCCTTCCAGAGTTGACATTAGCTCAAGTTGACGTTCTCCTCTGAGCTGCTGAACGACGGGTCAGGACCCGTCTACAGATCTGAGCCACAATCTGGACCCAGAGTTCAGACGCGGGACTTAAGTCGGACAATGAACCTCCCTGTCAATAGAACCCAGATCAAGAGACTTCAGGCCGTGGCGAGGTAACAGAGCTAACCACTCTGCCGCTGGTCTGGTGTGACTGCAGTAGGGCCGGTCAGGAGGGGCCGGTCAGGAGGGGCCGGTCAGGAGGCCGCATGGGGGTCCAATATGGCCGCCGCAGCACACAGGTATAGGTGGAGTGTGCATGTTTACTCTGACTGTGTTGAATTGGTTTTCTTCAGTTTCAGGGTTGAGAAGTGGGTGTATCATTTAGTGTCAAACTGGACAAAACTCATGTGTCTGTGAAAAAGTGAGCTTTAAGCAGGGTTTAGTGTTCCATGTCAGTCAGAGCTCACTAACTGCTACGTGCTGTTTTTTCCAAGGACAATGAGTTCATTTAATAATCAGCAGATGTAATTACAGCAAATATTCAAATTTAGCAACATGTCACTGAAAGGTGATGGTGCCACAGACGCATCAATGGTAAATCAAAGAAAAACGTGTTGTGTTTTTGTTCTAATTTTAGATCTAAATTTGCTTTGTATTGTCAAAAGTTTTTAAACTCAGGTCAATAGAAAAACACAGTTTAAAAGTGGCGTGCCATGGTTGCAATTAAACATTAAGTTCCAGCCCTGAAATGAAATACTGAGTTTTTAGAGAGCCCCCCTAAATTCAGCACTTAGAGGAGTGCTTTCTGTATTATCACTTGATGACATCACAAGGTGGAACACAGTGTTTGAGAGAATCTGCAGGGTTTGTGTGAATGAAACAAAACACAGCTGCAGGTCTGTGAAAACTACGTTAGAACAGATCAGAAAATGTAAGACTTTTCAATACAAACTGTGAACCTTTTTGCCTCTGCTGTTAAAGTTACACTGTGCAGTTTTTATGGTGGTGAGTGCGCCACCTGCATGTCTCCATGGAGATTAATTAATGCTTTACCTGGAATGTTCAGCAGTATGACATTAAACTATCACGCATCTTGAATTCTCGGCCCACAAATCCATGGGTTTCAGAGTTATGAATATCTATCACAGTTGCCATAGCAATTAACGGTTAAAAACAAAATATTACACCTTTACAGTGGGCAAAGTCATCAAGATATCTCATACAAACAGGAACTGACATCACAATATTTTAGAATCCCTCTTGTGGCGTTTGCTGTGTAACTGTCAGATGCAGATTTGTTGACCTGTTTTATGGTTTATAAAAACAGTCCATCTACTATAGAGTTACACAGGCCCCTGACATCATCTAAAATCATGACATCATCAAATTCTACAGGGTGAATTCAGCCGATTCAGTCACCTGGTTTTGTTTTTGCCACCTCCCTACACGACACACTTCATATACAAGCTTATCTGGTGTTATGCATCATCCTGTATAAAAGAGATCTCTTAAACTAAAGATTCATTACAGAAATTGCTCAAAGGGTTCCAGTTTGTACAAATACATGCCAGTCCAGTTTAGTCACACAATAATCACTGTCCCATACCCAGATTCTACTCAATACTAAAACCAGAACAAAAACTATGTACTTGTTACTTGCATCAAAATGGAACAAAAAGACATCCATTTTGTAATAGTACTGGTGGCACTGGTCTGCCTTAATAATAATAATTTTAAAACCTCAGATTTGACCCTATAGAGCTGGTTTAGTAGGAAGTGCGATAGGTGTGCTGCTTTTGTTCTGTTAAACAAGCAGCAGTGCCAGAGGTGGACAGGACTTTGTGTTCTTGTATCATGTAGACGTGATGGCTCTCTCCTCTGCACTGTGCTACCTTCAAGGACCTCCACCAAACCCTGTTAAAAATACCTCCAGTGCCTCTGAGAAGTGCTGAGTGCAGACAGGCTGGGGGAGTGTTGCCTGGATACCGCACAAGGACTATTCTCGGGCGGCCATCTTGGATCAGTGAGCTCGCAGTCGAATGACAAATGAGAGTTGTACAGAGACACAGAGCACACATGGGGGGAGCAGATGAGGCGTTCACTGTCCCGGCCTCCTGCTCTCAGCATATGGGCCACTGTGGTGAGTTTAGAGACTGATGCATTCAATGACCCTGCTGTAGGTTTGGTGCAAGCGAAGCACTGCTGACTGAAGGACTTAGAAAAATGATTAGTAATCCATAAAAAAAACAAGTCCTGAGGTGAGGAGTCCTGGTAATGTGTTTGCAGTGCATCAGAAATATACTAAAACATGATATTAAACATCAGACAATAGCATGCTAACACACACTTCCTGATTCTCAGCATGCAGCTGATATTATTTTGCTCAAATACATGGCCCTTAACTTCATCACCTTATAGGTTTGTTTGATTTGTTTGTGTTGATTTTATGACATTATTTTACTTATAAAGATGCATATCAGTCTCAAACATGGCAACATCAAATCACATTTATTTCAATGAAACATATGAAACAAAGGAGTTCACTGGTCAACCCTTATTCTGATCAAAGTCAGATTTCTCTTCCCTCAGTAGAAGAGTAATGCTTCGCTCACTGATTTTGCAGAAATTCTCCATGATATTCACAGCCTGTGATTTTATTTTTTCTGTTTTTTCCTTGTAAGTGGTTGTATTTGTTTTGTTGTGACTCCTTGATTGGCTAATCCACCTGTCAGTCACACTTTACGTTGTGTCCTGTCTTGCAGCTGATCAGCGATGGCAGTGTGGTGTATGCGGAGGCCCTGTGGGATCATGTGACCATGGATGACCAGGAGCTGGGCTTTAAGGCGGGTGACGTCATCGAGGTGGTGGACGCCACAAACAAAGAGTGGTGGTGGGGCCGCATCCAGGACAGTGAGGGCTGGTTCCCCGCCAGCTTTGTCCGGGTGAGAGTCAGAGCACAGCCCAGAGCTGCCATGCATTTTAGACATTACAGTATTTTAAATGTATTTGCAGTATTCAGTTTAGGAGCAGTTCACTTCACACAATTTAAACCCAACCAGGACCCAGGACAATAACATTTGTGAGAAGATATGAAAAATGAACGTATACAAGAATCCCATGCATTTGAGAACCTGAAAGAACCTGATACTCAGCGCTAGTACAGAAATGCCTTGGAGTGGTATCACTTTCAGTTTAGTTTGATCAACTCATGTGATAAGACCATTTTCCCGGCTTCTATTACCCTATCGCAGTACAATTATCATTTTATACTTAACAAATTAGATACAATCTTGGAATCATATTTTGTAAAAAATATTGGTGAAGTGAGTGCATACTTTCAGTTTCTGTGCTGGTATTGGTTAATTTCACATGTTGGTAAATTGTTAAAGGTTAAATTTTGGGTATGGCACTGGATAAGCTGCTGAGTGCATCTCCAGTCCAAACTACAGACAGCAGTCAGGAGGTGGTACATGTCAGGAACACGCCCACAGAGACACGTTCACAGTACTGCAGTACTCACATCATCACAGTACACTGCTACTGTTTGTGATTAATGTGCTCCAGCAGTCCCACATGGTCCTGACAGGTACACACTCCACACTGCACTTTTAGGAGTAGAGCTTATTCACACTAATCTGTAATATTATTATGTCCTTACCTGACCTGTACACTGTAATGAACTACACATGTGAAAATCACTTGAAGTGAGAATATTTCCTTGGAGAGAGCACCCAGTCATATCTGTGGAGAGGTGACCACATTCATACTTGTGTGTATGTTGTGCAGTTGCGTGTAAACCAGGACGAGCCCATGGAGGATTACCTGTCCCACCTGGAGGAGGGTGAGCCGGGGCAGGATGACCCGTCACACCTGGGCCTGTACCTGGGCCCCAGCCTGCCCTGCAAAGAGCAGATGAGATCCAACGTAATCAATGAGATCATGAGCACCGAGAGAGACTACATCAAGCACCTGAAGGACATTTGCGAGGTACAGTGAGTTTGGCTGTGCCAGGCTCTCTCTGTGTAGTATCTACAGACACGTCCCTCACACATGTGTCCTCCTCAGGGCTACATAAAGCAGTGCCGTAAGCGCACGGATATGTTCTCCGAGGAGCAGCTGAGGACCATCTTTGGGAACATCGAGGAGATCTACCGTTTCCAGAGACGATTCCTCAAAGCTCTGGAGAAGAGGTTCAACAAAGAGCAGCCCCACGCCAGTGAGGTGGGAGCCTGCTTCCTCCAGCACGTAAGTCCTCTACTCCTGACTGGAATATCTTGTGATGTGCTGGGTTGCTGTTTCTACTCCTCACTTTGCACTTATATGTCCCTCTACAGCAGACAGAGTTCCAGATCTACTCAGAGTACTGTAATAACCACCCAAACGCTTGTGCACAGCTGTCCAGGCTGGTGAAGCTCAATAAATACGTGTTCTTCTTTGAGGCATGCCGTCTGCTGCAGCGTATGATCCACATCTCTCTGGATGGGTTCCTCCTCACGCCCGTCCAGAAGATCTGCAAGTACCCTCTGCAACTGGCCGAGCTGCTTAAGTACACCAACCCACAGCACAGGTGGACACCAAGAGTCTTATTCTGTCTCAAGGGTTTGATTATGTTAAAAAGTGAGGAAGGCTAATACTACGACTATGAAAATACAGATATAAACAAATACAGTTATTTCTGTACAATGCTATTTTAACTGCAATGATCAGAATGTACAAGAGTGTCAGATCTTAACAATAATACAAAATATTTTTATATATATTTTCTCAAATGAAAATAAGTAGAGTTAGGGTTAGACACCTTAGACACTGTTTACTTATTTTTTTGTTATTTTTAGATGCCAGTATTGAATGTATACTACTTTCAAATATAAGCTTATAGACAAGACCTATAACATATAGTATACAGTATATTTTACTCAGATCATTTATGATCTCAAAATGCATTTGATGTATGTGTTGTTTTGTATTTGTTAACAACAGCACATTGGAGTGACATGTTCTGTTTCCTCTTCTCGTGTTATAGAGACTACAAAGATGTGGAGGCCGCGCTGGACGCCATGAAGAACGTGGCTCGCCTCATCAATGAGAGGAAGAGACGCCTAGAGAACATTGACAAGATTGCCCAGTGGCAGAGCTCCATCGAGGATTGGGAGGTCAGAGGAACATCTCACACCTAACCACTATATACTGTAGGCTTATACAAGATGAAGGACATCAGCTAGATTGTGCTTTAAAGGAGAGGACAGAGGACAAAGCATACTTCCCTTACACATGCCAACACACCTAATACTATCATCTGTAAATCTATGTCACATACACCACTGTGATTCCAATTACCCATAAGACCTAGCTAACCTTGTGCTTGTATATGTGCAGGGCGAGGACATCCTGAGCCGTAGCTCGGAACTCATCTTCTCTGGAGAGCTGACCAAACTGTCCCCTCCTCAAACCAAGGGCCAACAGAGGATGTTCTTCCTCTTCGACCACCAGATGGTCTTCTGCAAGAAGGTGAGAGGTGCACAGGTGAAGGGTGTGTTAGGAGACATCTGTGGTGAGTCTGCAGGCCTGTCCTGAGGGGAGTAACAGCAGACTGCATCTGTACTCTTGTTCTGTACATTCAAAGCTTAGGGCTGTTTTAAGACTTCCCCCTCCCCTCTGTGTGTCCAGGACCTCCTGCGCAGGGACATATTATACTACAAGGGCCGGGTGGACATGGACCAGATGGAGGTTGTGGACGTGGAGGATGGGAGGGAGAAGGACTTTAACGTGAGTGTGAAGAATGCTGTGAAGCTGCGGGCGCGCTCTGGAGACCACCTCCTCCTGTTGTGCGCCAAGAAGCCCGAGCACAAACAGCGCTGGCTCAGGGCCTTCTCAGACGAGAGGAGACAGGTGCTGGCAGACCGCGAGACAGGTAACACACACATCTACACTCGTCAACACACACATCTACACTCGTCAACACACACACATCTACACTCGTCAACACACACACATCTACACTCGTCAACACACACACATCTACACTCGTCAACACACACATCTACACTCGTCAACAGACACACATCTACACTCGTCAACACACACACATCTACACTCGTCAACACACACACATCTGCACTCGTCAACACACACACATCTGCACTCGTCAACACACACACATCTGCACTCGTCAACACACACACATCTGCACTCGTCAACACACACACATCTGCACTCGTCAACACACACACATCTGCACTCGTCAACACACACACATCTGCACTCGTCAACACACACACATCTACACTCGTCAACACACACATCTACACTCGTCAACATACACACACATCTACACTCATCAACATACACACACATCTACACTCGTCAACACACACACATTGACACTAGTCAACACACACATCTACACTCGTCAACACACACATCTGCACTCGTCAACACACACATCTACACACATCTACACTAGTCAACACACTTACATCTACACTAGTCAACACACACATCTACACTCGTCAACACACACACATCTACACTCGTCAACACACACACACATCTACACTCGTCAACACACACACCTACACTCGTCAACACACACACACCTACACTCGTCAACACACACACCTACACTCGTCAACACACACACATCTACACTCGTCAACACACACACATCTACACTCGTCAACACACACACATCTACACTCGTCAACACACACACATCTACACTCGTCAATACACACATCTGGACTCATCAACACACACATCTACACTCATCAATGCACACACATCAATACACACATCTGCACTCATCAACACACACATCTACACTCATCAATGCGCACACATTGACACTAGTCAACATACACACATCTACACTCGTCAACACACACACATCTACACTCGTCAATACACACACATCTACACTCGTCAATACACACACATCTACACTCGTCAATACACACACATCTACACTCGTCAATACACACACATCTACACTAGTCAACACACACACATCTACACTAGTCAACACACACACTTACATCTACACTAGTTAACACACACACATCTACACACTCGAACACGCACACACACACAAACACACACACAAACACACACACAAACTCACTCTTCATGGGAACATTAGTCTGACACACATTCATTTCCTGCAGACTGATAATATCATTAACCATAGTCACTACTTGTCTAACTTAAACCTAAATCTTAGTCTGAAATATTAAAATAAGACTTAAACATATTTTCGTAGAATACACATATACTGTTATGCTCTAAAACAAACAGCACTGTAGTTGAATTCCACATGTCTAATGTATTGTTGTGTTCCTCTTCATGGTGTTGTTGTGAATAAGTGCTGTGTATTTGATGAGCTGTGGACACAGAGAAGGTGCTGGACTTTGGCTCAGGTGTAGATGTTAACATGAGTGCTTTTGTGCTGCAGGTTTCTCTCTGACCGAGGTGCAGAAGAAGCAGGCCATGCTGAACGCCTGCAAGAGCCACCCCACAGGGAAGCCCAAAGGTACAACTGTACACTGGACTAATGCACATCACAGGCTGCAGCTCACACCACTGGAAACAGAAATACTTACTGCTCATAGTTATCTGGACTATACACATTCTAAAACACATGAACTCACAAACTCACGAGAATTCATCTTGCTGTGCAAGGCTAATGCTAATGCTAATAATAATAATAATAATAATAATAACAATAACAATAATAATAATAATTTATTTGTAAATTATCTCTATTCAAAACCTACCTAACAGACCTGGACTTGTGTTTTGTTTTACTCAAACATGTTTAACACACAAACCCTGCACATTTAGGCTGTTCCACCTAGATGTTGTCATGTTTCAGTTTTTTAAAGTATATCTACCTTCATTTTTATTATCTGGAATGATCAATTTTGACTGAACAAAAGATAAAAGGCTAAGAGTCAGTTTTATGTGAAAGGAACTTTAAATCTGGGCTGTTGGTTGTTTTACACGCAGTTTATGTATGAGCCTCATTTTCCTCCTCTTTCCTCTAACATTCCTTGTTGTTTTTGTTGTATATCTCCAGCAGTCACTCGGCCGTACTATGACTTCCTGGTCCGACAGAAGCACCCGTCCCTCCCCACGGCTCTGCCCCAGCAGCAGGTCTTCATGCTGGCCGAGCCCAAACGCAAGTCTGCCTCCACCTTCTGGCACAACATCGGCAGGCTCACCCCCTTCAAGAAATGAAGCGCTCCTCTTCACCAGACTCATGAACTGAACAGAGGAGCGAGGACTATGTGAAAGCACTTTATAGTGGAGAGCAATCAGACAATGGGCCTATGCCACTACTACTACTATCACTACTGCTATTACTACTATTACTACTACTACTACTACTGCTGCCAGTGATCCGACTCCTGACTGTGCTGCCATCGAAGTTCCATTACCTTTTGCCAATGTCTCTGTGTGCCAGCCGCTTGGGTTGAATTTTGTGTTTTTTCTAAAAGGGATCCAGAGGAGACAGAGTAGCTTCATCATTCTGAGACCATCCGTTCTGCTCTATTTGGTTGTTTTTTATGTCAGATGTCCTTCGTTTCACAACAAATTGCTTGGGAAATATTTTAACCAGCAGACCATGAACTGAAGTGGCTACCTTCTGATTGTTTATTAGCTAACCTACTACCACAGGTGGGTAAAACAGCCAAAAAGTACTCAGTTAATAGTATCGTTACTAATATTAAAAAGGTCAAAGAAAGAAAGAAGTTTTATGGAATCTGCTACTAAGTAATGTTTGACTTATAATTTGAAGTCACTGTAACTAGAGTGAACTTCTGCACAAAATCTGGTATTTTAAATAGATGCAAATATTTGACAAAGTAAATCATATCTGAAGGAAGAAGCAAGAAACACAAATGTTCAAATCATTTCATATTGTCAAGATATAGCCTTTGTCACTTGTAGATATACTCACAGGGTGGGAAGGGTAACCACAACTTTTACTTAAGTAAAAACACTGTTGTGTAAGAGAACATTGTTAAATTGTTAAATATTTAACTCTAGTAGGAGTATGGTCTGAAAACTTCTCAGAGAAGTACATTTTAAAAGTACTACCATAGACTGTGTATATGAATGGACGTGACTAACCTGCTAGCCGCTGCATTTCACATTGAAAGTGAGCATGGGCATGCTTCCGGCTCCATCAGCTCTGGCTCAAGTTCACTTTGTATTGAAATCCTGTCGCCCCTCTCTCTAAAACTGCTACTGTCAGACTTGTCATTTTGATCTTAAAATGTTCGTATTAACTCACTCTAAGTGATGCTGGGGGTTTTATTTAGCTATTTTGTCCCTAGATAAAGATATGAACATTAATAACAGACTCCTAGTGTTGCTACGAACCCACTCCCAGATAAACTACAGTGGTGTGAGCGGAAAGGGGCTTTACTTTCAACAGCATCGCTCTGGATTGGCTCTTTGGTTGCTATGACATCACGCTCACTTAGTCTTCTATATACAGTCTATGAGTACTGTCCATCTCTGCCTACTACAAATGAGGTATATCACTGCAGTACTTGTGTATTTATGTAGTATTTTTGCAGAACAGATGGTCTCCGTAGTTTATCACACTCCATATCTCTAGACCTCTGCAGCGTGTTGAGTTTGTGGCTGGCACCCCTCTCTCTCCTCTCTGGTGTTCTTTAAGTGCCATTGGACTTGTGCGATGAGACCCCTGGTGGACGTGCATGGATGTGCTCAAACATACTGTGAACTTTTGATACTGGCTCCCCCTTGCTGTACAGTATGTAGCTGCAGATGTACGCTTTCCACACGCTGCCTCGCTCATGGCTTTGGACCAGCCCCTCCCCTCTCTGAGAAAAAACAAACATATTTATAACATTTCTAAGTCATAGTGGATTTAACTCTGCATACCAAATATGGAGTGTCCTGTGGGTGTGTTCAGACTTGGCAGTGCCAGGAGCAGGCCGGACTGAAGATGGTACATGTCAATGAGAATGTTTTGGAAATTATGAAGTTAATGTTTGAAAGTTTGTTTCAAGAATGAGTGAGTTTTTGAGTCAAAGGCACATTGCAAATATTATTTAAAGTGCATATGACAGGCTAGATGACACATTTTACTGAAACATTATAGTTAACATTACTATATGCTAACAAAACAAATCTTTTTTCTAGTTATTTGGAGAAGTTTAAAATAGAAGTAATTCCATAACCATAATGTAAAAAAGGCCAAAACTTGTCCAAATTACACAATAGTTCTGATAAGGTTTTTTTTTTTTAAATGAATGGAGTTTTCCATGTTGATGGCAAAGGCAAAGGAATTCTGTTTTAGAACTCCTGCATTTTTGCCTTTTTCTTCTGAGCTTTTTTCACAAACTGCCACTTAACTGATGTAAAACCTGCCGACAGGTTCTGTCCACCAGACCAAGTCAGAAGGAGAAACACATGAAAACCTGTCATGTGCACTTTAAAGGTTCAGTTTAATGATCTGAACTGTCCATTACGGCTTTTGGCACCTCTGCTTTGGTCTTTCACATTTTCTAACGTCAAATAACTGTTGCCAAACGGTGGGAGGTGCTAGCCCGTACTGACGAAATAATGCAGACGAAAAAAAATATTGGGGGGGATTTCATGCCAATGAGCTCAGGCCATTGAAAACAACACGAGACCATGTTGGATTCACTTTCCAGATGTGATGCTCCCCCCACAGTGGACACCTCTGCTGGGACACTGAGAACAGGAGCAGAGCAAATCAGGCTAGAAACAGATTTTGTCACTTTTCCAGTTGGAAATTGGTGCACTGAAGATTGTGATCAACCATATGGCTAATGATGCTTATTAACCATATCAACGCCATGCTCCGCTGTAGCCAGCAGAGGGCGACAGACATCACCGAGTTCTCTCTGTGAAAGTGAAAGCCTCATTATTTGATGTTATAAAATGTGAATTACACAGGTTTTCTAAAATGTGTTCATTCATCTTATTTTGGATTTCACTGGACAGTTGGATGTCCAGGGTGTTATGTTTGTCCACGAGGATTGTTCCGTTCTGACAGGTGCTTGTCAGTCACGGCCTTCTATCTGTCTGACGGGAGGAGCGGACTACACTGAAACGGACACACCCTAGTCATTTACAGTAAACTATATCTGCTGTTATTAGCAAAATCCATTGATATACACGAAGGTGTGAACTGTCCCTGAGTTATATTTTGTATGTTTGGTGAAGGCCCATGTGGCATTCTCCCTCCTGTTTTCTTGATTGTTCTGATGATAGAGGAGAGAGTTTTAAAGAGTTCACAGATGGACTGATGAACAAAAAGAGCAATATTTGTAAAGAAAGACAATAAGGATACACAGCAGAAAGTGAAGTGTTAAAATTCACTCACAGGATCAATTTGAACATTTTCCTCATGGTTTATTTGAGTCCAATCTGTTCTAGAGTTAATTTAACATTTTTGAAAATGTTCATTAAGTCCCACTGGACCAAAGTTCCTGTTTAACCCCAAAATCAAGAGTTATTTTAATATTTTGAGAGTAAACAGATAACACTTTATCACTTATCCTGATTTAGCTAAACAACACACAGGTGTTTTATTTTTACACTTTATTTTAGTTAATTTAAGATGAAATTATGAACAAAACTGGTTCAAACTGTCTTCTCTCGTGGGAGTTTGAAGTGATGCGTGGGAGGTGCTAAATTAATTCAAAGGGAAGTTGAATTAACTTCAGCCATATCAACTAACAAAATAACCCCAACTCCAACCCCCATTTAACTTTCATATAGTTAACAATAACACTTTTTGTGTTAAAAACAACTTTGAAATATTTTACCCTGAAAATTTTAACCCTTAACCCTTTTTGCTGTTTATTTGGAGTGTGCTAATAGGTGCCTGATTACCCATTAAAATATGACTCAGGGACAGTTCACACTCAGAGTACTATCATGCTCTGCTAAGAACAAATGTTGTAAACACTTCCCTGTCGTTTAGGCAGAAGGCAGCGACTTACAGAACTCTGTCAGAACTGAAGAAGCCTCTCACTACAAAACTTTAGTCCAGCGACAGATTTCACTTTTCTTCTCCTCTGGTTGCTATTTGATAAAATCATGTAATAATTTTTCAAAGATTTAGAATATATTTGGTTTGGTGACACTTTTCAAATATGGAAATACACTTTATGTACCTGTTTGACGCACTGCACTTGCATGTTACTAAACTATTTCTCTTTTAATGACAAAGTTCACACTATTAAGACTTTAGAGCGAATTGTTTTGCTGCTGAGCTGACTGAGACAAACAGAGCATGCCCTGCCTACACTGAAGAAGAACAATGGTTAAGTTTGGCTTGCACCACATGTAGCGCCTCCTGGTGGGCATGGGTTAGTATTACCGTTCTGTTAGATTGTAATGTACATACATAAAGAGAGATATATTTATGGTGTTTTGTGTATATCTGACAATGAGGAGGGTGAGGAAAGTGAAGGAGCCAAGTGTAAACACACCCTGACCCTTGACCCCTGACCTCTGCACTCCTGCGGTGTGTGGCCCCTCCCCCTCTGTAAGTGCATTCATACTGGACTTTTCTGCTCATGGAATATTAAACATTCCTCTACTTCTAAGAGACGGTGTTATTGTCATATGTGTGTTTAAGGAGCTCGATGTATCTGAGCTCTTCCACTCTAAAGTTACACGTTACAATATAAACCCTGCATATTTCGGCTGCGTTCTCTGTTCCACCATGTGATGTCATGTGGTAATACAGGAAGTGTTCTACTGTGTTTTTAAACTCCATACTCCTTCACTAGAATCATTTGGATAATTCTATATCTGGAACTGCTAATCTCTACTGAACAAAAGGTAAAAGGAGCAGAAAACCACCGCTTCATGACATCACAAGGTGGAACAGAGCATTTTGAGTTTTTTAGATGTACATAAATGCAGAATTACTTAAACATGTGTGAATCAAACAAAACAAAACAAAAAAAACATACATATATACATAGGATCTCAGTCCAATCTTAGACTTAGACAAACTTTATTGATCTACAAGGGAAATGATTTGGACTCAGGAGTCACACATCACAATATAATATAATAACAAAGAGATCAAATTGAAACGGTGAACAACAATAATATGATGATTGACAGGACACAGGGTTATCTGTTACATAAAGATGAATTGTTATACAGTTGTAGGAATTGTTATACAGTTGTTGGGAGTATTATCTGTTACATAAGGGTGAGTTGTTGTAAAATTGTAGGGAGTATTATCTGTTACATAGGGGTGAGTTGTTGTAAAATTGTAGGGAGTATTATCTGTTACATAGGGGTGAGTTGTAAAATTGTAGGGAGTATTATCTGTTACATAGGGGTGAGTTGTTGTATAAGTTGTAGGGAGTATTATCTGTTACATAGGGGTGAGTTGTTGTATAAGTTGTAGGGAGTATTATCTGTTACATAGGGGTGAGTTGTTGTAAAATTGTAGGGAGTATTATCTGTTACATAGGGGTGAGTAGTTGTATAAGTTGTAGGGAGTATTATCTGTTACATAGGGGTGAGTGTTGTTGTATAAGTTGTAGGGAGTATTATCTGTTACATAGGGGTGAGTTGTTGTATAAGTTGTAGGGAGTATTATCTGTTACATAGGGGTGAGTTGTTGTATAAGTTGTAGGGAGTATTATCTGTTACATAGGGGTGAGTTGTTGTATAAGTTGTAGGGAGTATTATCTGTTACATAGGGGTGAGTTGTTGTAAAATTGTAGGGAGTATTATCTGTTACATAGGGGTGAGTAGTTGTATAAGTTGTAGGGAGTATTATCTGTTACATAGGGGTGAGTTGTTGTATAAGTTGTAGGGAGTATTATCTGTTACATAGGGGTGAGTTGTTGTATAAGTTGTAGGGAGTATTATCTGTTACATAGGGGTGAGTTGTTGTATAAGTTGTAGGGAGTATTATCTGTTACATAGGGGTGAGTAGTTGTATAAGTTGTAGGGAGTATTATCTGTTACATAGGGGTGAGTTGTTGTATAAGTTGTAGGGAGTATTATCTGTTACATAGGGGTGAGTTGTTGTATAAGTTGTAGGGAGTATTATCTGTTACATAGGGGTGAGTTGTTGTAAAATTGTAGGGAGTATTATCTGTTACATAGGGGTGAGTTGTTGTATAAGTTGTAGGGAGTATTATCTGTTACATAGGGGTGAGTTGTTGTACAGTTGTAGGGAGTATTATCTGTTACACAGGGGTGAGTTGTTGTAAAATTGTAGGGAGTATTATCTGTTACATAGGGGTGAGTTGTTGTATAAGTTGTAGGGAGTATTATCTGTTACATAGGGGTGAGTTGTTGTACAGTTGTAGGGAGTATTATCTGTCCCTCTATAGTCTGGTGCAGTGGGTGAGCAGGAGTGTCTGTGGTGTACAGCAGTTTGTCCAGTCACACTTGAGCCTGTGTCAGTGGAGCCTGGACCTGCACAGGACACATCCAAGTGTTTCTCGTTGTGTATATGCTGCATATTAAAGCTCTGAACCAACTGGATTTCAACACTGGGAATCCAAATGAGAGTCATGTGAAGCTCATTCTACTTTCTGATTGGATAATCATCTTGATCCAAAAAATGTGACATAAATAACTGGGCAATCATGTCCAGTGTTTTTGCATTTAAGAATAAATCAGCATTAGAACTGTTATCAGTCAAATGGATATTTGATTTGGACATGCTCACCTCATATCTGGGAACACAGTGTGCTCAGATTTATGAAAACCAAACATGTAGCTCTTTTCAGTGTTGGATCTGTCATATCAACTGTATCCAGCCACAGTCACCTTCCACATGTGGAAACACAAGAACAACTTCATTGTCATAATTTTATTTTTAAAATATTATATTTACATCTGAATGAGTCAAACAATATTCTAAAATCTAAAATGACACCTATATAAAATGATCTCCATACACAGTCACATTCAGTTCTAAGTTTAGATACATGTCATGTCAGGACATGACATGTACTTTCATTACTTCTAAGGACAGTTTTGTTAGTACTTTACATTTACACCATACTCTGTGGATATACATGGACATAGTTAATCTGCTGGCCGCTGCGGTGCAAATAGGAAGTGTTCATGGAGGAGCTTCTGGCTCCATCAACTCTGTTAGCAGTTGACTTTACACATATTCACTAAGACGTCCCAAAGCTCTCTGATGGGTGGGGCCTAATTCAGTGGCCCCTCCTCCTCTCTGTCAGTTGTTCCACCGGCGCACCTGAGCGTATTGGGCTGCGTATGAGCGTCTGGTGGGCGGAGCCTCAGTGTCTGACTCCTCTTCCTCCTCTTCCTCCTCTTCCTCCTCCTCCTCTCTCTGTAGCTCCTCCAAGTGCCTCTGTCGCCTTAAGGTGTTGCGGGGCTGGACAAACAGGAAATCATCATATTAATGGCATCATAGTAATGTTTCTCAGGAGCAGCTCCTTTTCTGTGTCATTAAAGGTCGTATCTTACACCAAAGTGACTCTGTGAGCTTTGAGTCATGTTATAATGTTGTTCCCTCCTCAACATCAGACCTGCCACCTTTAATGTGAAACGTTTGAGCGCTTTGTCCATCCACCTGTTGTGCTGCATGATACTGCCAGAAAGGTAAGATACATTGAAATAAATATTGTTGCACTCACCCTGGGAATGGGCTCCGCCTGTGGCCTCAGCTGCTCCCTGAGGGTCCCTCGGGTGCTGGGGCTCTGCAGGGGACTGTGGTACTGAGAGAGTCCACTCACAGGACTGTCCACACGAGTGGTCAGGAAGTCAGAGACACGCACACGCCCGCTGAACAACTGCAGGAGGAAAGACCAAAGGGTTTATGGGAAACTCACAGCTAGAGTATATCAGGATCATAATGTGTGACGTGATCTTTTGGACATGACCACATTAGTCCCCCGAGCCCTGTTCACACTGCCCAGACTGTGGACTTACGCAGAGAGCAGTGTCCTCACCTCTAGGTCCCTGTTCAGGTCCATGGACTCCAGGTTGTGGAAGGTGTGGGTGTAGATCTCCAGAGCTTTGGCGTGGAACAGCATCTCCACTGTGATGAAATCTGTGAAGATGGTCTGCACAACACACAGTGGATCAGAGCACAGATGTGTGGCCCTGTGCAAAATAAACGCCCTGAGCGTCATGAGTTTGTAATCATTTTCCCAACTCTCAGAGACCAGGGTGAAGTTTTGGCATGACGCTAAAACTAACAACTAACATGTTAACTATGCGCTTCATAATTAGACAGCACACAGTATTCTCCATGGTGGTAAGATACTAATTTAGCCACAGCTGCCCTGGGACAGACATGAGGCTGCCAATCTGCACCATTGGCCCCTCAGATCACCAACACTCACACACACCACTTTCATACTAGGCAATCTGCATCAAGTGTCTTGCCTATGGACACAATTGCAGTTTTTGCCTTTGGTATCAGTATATGAGTACTGGAGTAAACAGAGGACTACATAAAAGCACGTGCTTCAGTTTATGATCCATGAACGACATGTTTATTCATTTGTCTGCACACACAGACGTCCTGCTTCAAAGAGCACATGTGTGAGTCTGACCTTGATGTCCTCCAGCCTGTTCTTCTGGAAGTCCATGATGGCCTCCTCCATGAGCCTCGTGCTCCTCTGGGCATTGTTAGAGGCCTTCTGAGCGCTCACCTCTGCCTGTACACACACACACACACGCACACGCACACGTACACACACACACACACGCACACGCACACGCACACACACACACACACACACACACACAGACACACAGATACACTGACACAGTCTGCTGCCTCCTGCTGTCAGTCTGCTGAAGTACATCAGTGCACTTACCTGAGACTGAAAACATTTGTCAAGGAAACCCATGTACCTGCTCCCACTGTTACAGAGCATTGGTGTATGTGTATGTCACAACAGCAGAGGGATGACTGCAGATCTTCTCTTAGTTCCTGTCAGAGAGTTAATTAAACCGAGGCTCGAGCAGTACCCACTGTTACAGTTAAGAACAGGTTTATATCCATCTAAACGCCAGGGAACAGTGCAAAATAAGACTGGAGGTTTTATGGTTTGTGGAGGAAATAATAGAAAGACAGAAAATGTCTGTATACTGTGTTCATTCAATTAGCAAATTTGATTATATTGCAATTAATCTTGCAGCCCCACTGAGTGGTAGTTTTATTCTCCACTACTAAAACTTCTACTGTGTATTTGGATGAGAAACTCTCTCCAACATTTAGCCCAAGCTCCAGAGACACTGACGAGAGATGAATAAAACTTTACTCTCACCTGTTTGCACTTCAGCGCCCCCACAGGACACAGAAGGTACAAACTGCTGTTTCTTTTCAGAGGATACAATGCTCTGGCGGTCTGCAGGGTTCTTCAGCCTGATCTTCTCCAGCTTCTGGATCTCCTTTATCTCTCTGCTCCGGTCTGCACTGAACTTCTTCACTTCAGCCTGAGGGACAGGAGCAGCACACGGACAGTTGACCATGTTTAATCAGAGACACGTTCCTCTCACTCAAAGGTGGTGTGTGTGATACTGACTCTCTTGTTCTTGATGATGTCTCCATAGGCTTTGAGAGGAGCCACCACCCTGCTCTCCAGCCTCTCCACCTGCACACAACACTGTCACTAGGGTGGCAACTGCAAATAATATGAAGGAATGAATAAAAGTGAACATTGAGTATGCCAGCAGCCAGATGTAGGTTTAAATACATGTTTACATGTGTATAACATGAATGTGGAGGGACATGTAATAACTGTAATGACACTGTAATAATACACAATCGTAATTCAGTCTTAAGTTAGTGTAACAATTAAAACAATACAATAATGTCTTTATATAATAAAGCATGATCTCCATCATCACTAAAATATCAAATAAACCATTAGTTTTTGCTGAGATTGCATCAATATACACGTCAGTATGATAAGTTTATTGCCAATTTTTCATACAAAAATCATACAAAGAATCAAAATGGTGTTTCTCACTATCTCATAAGTAATAAAAAATAAATTGTAAATAGTGCAAAGGTGCACTTGTTAAAAAAAAGTTTAGATCTAGCCAAGTAGTAGTAATAGTAGTCTAGTAGTAGTAGTACTACTACTAGTAGTATCCTAGTCAGTGTTGTGCATGAACGAGTTCAAAAGAACGCGTTCATTGAACACGTTCATTTTTCAGTGAACTTTGAACTGAACGCAACACTTTTGTAAATCAAGAACTTGAACGTGAATTTGTTCAAATTATGTGTGATGAACGACGTACGTCACTGTTGGAGTTCAGTTAAACGTCGGAATTTGAAGAGTGACGATCTGCTCGCACTTCACCTCACGAAACCACAGCCGCGTGTCAACGTGAAGGCGACTCCACCAGCAGCTTTAGTGGAACGTACGGGCTCTTGTGTCTCTCAATGGGAAGTCAATCAAACTTGACTGGGCGCGTTTAGCTGCTTGTATTTACCTTCTGTACAGGCTGACCACGGCAAACGCAAGGATTTCAAAAGTAAATTTCAAAGCACTAATTAACAGTCTATGTGGATCTGGGCTCTTTCACATGATACACAACTGCCCAGGGAGCACAATGTGCTGATGGTAAATGCACAAATACAACAATAGATACATGCTCTCTGTGTATTTTGACGGGGATACGCGCCTACGCTCGTGTAGAGCGTCAAAAAATAAGATGGATCCTATTTTCTGAAATCTACACGCACAGGACGTGCTGCTCCGCGCGCGTATTATTTTACTTGGTACATATGTCAGTAACGCGCGTCACAATGCTTTTTTAACCTGGATTGAAATGGTGGGTTTTTCGTTTTTCTTCATACAAATTTGCTAAAATCACCGCGATATCAGCAGTGGTGAAACGCCGGAGGTGCGCCCGCGTAGACCGTGATCCTGAGCGAAAGGACCGACGCAGAAGTCCGCGCTCCACCGAACTAAACGCAGCTGACGCTCGATCGCACTCGGGGTTCTCTCAGGGGCGGTCCTAGATTCCAAGTTCTAGTCCAGGATTAGTCCTGGTTTGGTCCTGGTTTAGTCTTGGTTTAGTCCTGGTTCAGTTCTGGTTTAGACCTGGTTTATTCCTGGTTCAGTTCTGGTTTAGTTCTGGTTTAGTCCTGGTTCAGTCCTGGTTTAGACCTGGTTCAATTCTGGTTCGGTCCTGGTTTAGTCTTGGTTTATTCCTGGTTTAGACCTAGTTCAGTCCTGGTTCAGTTCTGGTTTAGCCCTGGTTCAGTTCTGGTTTAGACCTGGTTTAGTCCTGGTTTAGACCTGGTTCAGTTCTGGTTTAGTCCTGCTTCAGTTCTGGTTTAGACCTGGTTTAGTCCTGGTTTAGACCTGGTTCAGTTCTGGTTTAGTTCTGGTTTAGTCCTGGTTCAGTTCTGGTATAGACCTGGTTTAGTCCTGGTTTACACCTGGTTCAGTTCTGGTTTAGTCCTGGTTTAGACCTGGTTCAGTTCTGGTTCAGTCCTGGTTTAGACCTGGTTTAGACCTGGTTTAGACCTGGTTTAGTCCTGGTTTAGTCCTGGTTTAGTCCTGGTTCAGTCCATATACGGCGCAAAAGTTCAGCATCTTAACAGTTCTTTTGGTGAGAGTAAATTAAAAGTGCTGCAATAGTCATGTAATGTTTTACATTTTAAATACAGTAATATTGTAATGTAACAAATGACTTTGAAATGACAGTAACAAGTCATAAATAACACATTACAGTTTTAAAGTCACTTGTCCAACAGTGTATCTTGTAAAGTTGTTGTAAACTAGAAGTCAGTTTGAAAAATAAAAGCAGCCTTTCATTTACAGATCTCATCTAAATATAAAATGAACTGAACTTTGAACTAGTTCAAAATTAAAATTGTGAACTATGAACGTGAACTATTCACTTTGAACAAGTGTGAACTGAACTTTGAACTAGTTCATGAAAACTGTGAACTTGCACAACACTGATCCTAGTACTTTTCACAGTATCTGAAAACATCTGGTCACATAATGAGTCTAGCCTGACCTGAGCCTGACCTGAGCCTGCCCTGAGCCTGACCTGAGTGTGACCTGAGCCTGACCTGAGCCTGCCTGTAGTCCTGTACCATGGCCAGGTCTTCGGCCAGGTTCTTCAGGCCGAGCTGGAGCTCCGGGTCCTCAGAGCGGGACAGGTCCTGCAGTTGTCCCACCAGAGCGTCCCCTTTGTCCCTCAGACCCGCTGTCTTCCTGGTGTAGGCGGCCAGCACAGAGCACAGCTGTCCCAACAGCTTCTCTGTGTGAGACACTGTCTGCTCCATGGTCTTCACCTGCACGTCCCTTAGCGAGCAGAGGGGAGGGGTGTTAAAGACGAGGTATTTTACTGGTATTAACGGCTGACACAACATATATACATATATAGACCACCAGGAGACCTTTTATTTTAAAAAGGACATATTTGCCAAAAACACCATATGAACATGTTTGATAAATTTCACTTTCATGTTTAACACTTTGAGTTTTCCCCCTGGTTCACTACTGCAAACTACTGCATATCATGTTTGTCAAGCTGCTGTATACAGTTTTGTATGTTTTTGTATATTTTTGGAGAATTGTCGTGGTGGAGCATGGGTGATGTAGACTTGTGGGTGGAGCTTTGCAGAGAATCTTACAGCAACTATAAGGAGAGTTTGAATAGAACCGAGGAGAGATTCCTTCATTACAAGCAAGCCTGGATAACATGTCATGCATGTTTTTGATGAGGGAACAGTGTTATAACATGGGAGAAAGCCAGGCAATTCAAATAAAGATTTTTAAGGGACTGTATGTAAGATTTTGATGTAAAATTGTATAAACTTCCAAACATGTTCAAATTAAATATCATTTTGACTGGTAACAGTAGTTATGCTGATTTATGCTTAATCACAAAAACGCTGGCGATGACGGCCAAATGGTATTTTATAATTTGGTGCTTTGGTTCACAAGAACTTTAAACCTAAAATGCCTCTCTCTGATCTGAATGATTTTTATCTAAACCCCAGCATTATTCATGAGTCAGTGCTCAGGGAGGGAATTCTGGAGGGTCTGAACTTCACATGAGGCCTGGATGTGTCTCTGTCTGCAGGTTAAGGCTCTGGAGACACAAGTTCAGTTGTGATTCTTGCAGTTTTTTTAAAATCTGTAAAAGCTCAGAATAATCTGTATCCAGTTCCTTCTGTTTTCCTCTTAATCTCCTCACTGACCTAAAGAAGTGTTAAAACAGATACAAATATACAGTTACCTACTACTTTTACATACTATTTCTCCACAAAACTACTCCTAATGCCACTGCCACTACTGCAAAAAAAGCCATCATGTCATTTCATAATGTCAGCTGAACATCTCTTATGCATGATGTGAGAAATGTGCAAAGGTACAAAACTAAAAGTGCAAATGTCAAAGGTGCTGATGATAATAAATAAAAGTCTTTTACCTGGAGAAGAGCCCTGTCATGGCTGCCGTCCTCACTGTCTGTTTGTGCTCCTCACCTGCTCCAGGTAACACAGCCTGTTTCCATGGAGACAGGCACAACACAGCCTCTGGAGCAGGTGTAATGCTGAAGAGACGCCACACGAGGGCGCCACAACTCTACAGTCCACTGGTGATGAGAGCACCTGATAGAGTTATAATGACTTGATTTGACATGGTGTTTTTTGTTTTGTTTTTTCATTTAGAATTCCCCTCCCCAACAGTCTGCAACCTGGGCATCATTCTGGACTCAACCCTCTCCTTTGAACCCCACATCAAATCAATCACAAAATTTACCACTATTGCAACACATCCTGCCTCCATCCATCTCTCCTGGACCTGGCTGCTCAAACTCTCATCCATTATCATGACCTCCCGCCTGGACTATTGCCATGGAGTCCTGTCCTGGATTTCCCCAAAGCTTCTGGACAGGCTTCAGTATATCTAAAACTCTGCTGCTAGGGTTCTCCCTCACACCAAGCCCTGGCAGCACATCACCCCCACTCTCGCCCACTTGCACTGGCTTCCCATGAAACACCAGATCCAGAACAAGATTCTTCTCCTCATCTACAAGTCCCTCCAGGCCCAGGCCCCTCAGAAGCTCTCAGAGATCATGTTACACAAGAGCTAAAACTACAGTATGTAACTTTATGGAGGTCCCACGTCACCTGCATGATTCCATGGAAATAGAAATTTAAAACCATATTTTGGAACATTCCCCATGGAGATAAGGTTAATGCTATACTGTACTGTGGAATATTATAACCAAGTGAGAAACATTTCTCTCCTCCAGGCCAAATAAGAGTCAGGTTTGTGATGCAAGCACAGTGAGGACATCTGCATTTCAATGTTTTTTTTTTTATTGCTATAAAAACAACCAGACTTTTATTTGAGTCTATGATTTGACTAAAAAGTGACACGCTGTGGCTTTAACATCCGTGTGGGATGTGCCCACTTGTAGGAAAGCAGGAGCCTGGTGTTTAGAACCGTCACAGTGATACTTCATAAATAATAGAGAAGAAAATCAGACTCATGTTTTGTAGAGCACCTGTGAGTCCATCTGTTCCTTTGGCTCCTCCTCGAACCATCAGACCAGCAGCTCTAAGTCACAATCTCACACTGAAGAACAATACAACAAGGATTTAAAGAGCACATTTCCATGAGCCTGTGATTGAGTGATGAGTGTTCATGGTCCAGTTTGATTTTCAGCCAAAAGGTGAGAGTCACTCACTGGAAAAACTGCCTTTATTTGCAGATGCTCAGAGGCTGCACAGGTCACAGGTCACAGGAGCGGGTGGACACGAGGGAAACAGAAAACTAAAGCAAGGACTATCAATATTTTAACTGTCACATATCAAAGTTTATCCATCCATGTTGAATTTTCTAACTGGGAGGCAGCTCAGAGTTCTGAAATGGGACCAGAGTTACTGAGTAGGAGTTCTGGCCACTGGAACACAGTGTTTTTCTGAACGTCCTAATTTCAGGACAAATCAGAGGACAGAAGTTGTTTCACCCTCAGTCAGAGGTGGGACCAAGTCCTTGTTTAAGTATTTGACCTCAAGTCCCAAGTCAAATAGAGGCAAGTCCAAGTCGAGTCTTGAGCCACTGGCCCATAAGTCCAAATCAAGTCATCTGCTTTGAGCTTCAAGTCATTTCATGTCTTTAAACCAAAGTATCTTAGATTTTTGCAGTTTATATGAATTTTAAACTAAATTGTACATAAAAAGTCATGGTATATTTATATGATTTATATGAGTATTTATATAAGAGGTGAAGAAATGCAGTTTTTTCTTTTTAAAAGTCTTTTAAAATCTAAATGTCTGTTAAAGATCTTAGTGCGACTCATTATGGTCAGAAATAAGTTATTTTGTAATGTAGTCTGCACTGAACTGTACTGTACTGTATATTACTGTAGTACATTTGTGGATACCATCTCTACTACTACTTCACTTTCATTTAAAGTACCAAACAGAAGTGGAAGGGACATATTCTAGTTTGTTCCTGTAAAATTATTCACCCACATGTATCAACTGTAAAGAGAAAAGTATTTTCTAAAATCATTTATTTTTTTAGGAGAAGCATTAAGTGACAGGCCTCAAGCCAGAGTCAAGTCCCAAGTCACTGACCTTCACATCTAAGTCGAGTCCTAAGTCCTACAAACAGAGACTCAAGCCTGACTCGAGTCCAAGTCACGACGTGCAAACCTCTGCCCTCACTTATAACTAAGTTCTAAAATTCCAAATAAAAGAGCTTTGTTCAAAAGTGCTGCAGGTTAAAATGACTAGATGAGGATATAATATAAAATATGAAATTATTCTAGTGCCTGTGTGACATCACTGACCTTGTGTGATATGATATGACCTGTTCACTCAGGCACAGCTGAAACAAAGACCACAGCACAAAGCCAAAAGTATATACATTCATAGTTTATTGTTACATGAATATAGTCCATAATTCCATATGCGATAAAAACACTGGCTCAAAAACAGACAAAGAACATGAGGCTCACAGCAATGACACGGACTAGAGCGCCATCTACAGGCCCAAGTCAGCATGTGTACAGTGTGAGGAGTGCAAAGACTTTCCAATGGTACAAAATGTCAGAAGACTACAATACTTTTTACCCAAATAAATTATTATATAGTATTTTTCACAATCAAAATATGTGATTGAAATTTCTCAAAAACAGCTGTTGGCAAATCACTGACCAACTTTTCTATATTTATTAAAGATGTTCGGTGTAAATTTTCTGTTTGTTTCCAGGGAGACGTTACTTGCTTACCTGGAATGTTCCACAGTATGGCATTCATCTTGTAAGGTTTGATCTATGGAAAAGGGGGACTTCTTACTGTAAGAAGCGCGTTTATCAAGGAATAGTGTTGTAGTTTATGTGTTTTTTTAAGCGGAGGTCTTTTATTCCTCTGTGGTTTAAACTACTAACACAAAACATAATTAGATCATCATTTTACCTTGAATGATTTGAAAATGTTATAGTCGCACAAAACAACATATTGACATATTTTATAAGTTTCACTTTTGTTCTTGACACTCGGAGGTGTTTTTGTTAACACTGCCTCTGGTTCAGTCAACGTTAAAGAGCATTGGAAGCTTTAAAATGTTTGATTTAGCATAATACCCTCACTTTAAACAAACTAACAAATGTTGTGCAGTGGAACATTCCAGGAGGAATACCATTTTCATAGAGATGGTGAAGGTAGAGGACACCCACCAGAAAAGTTACACTATGCACCTTTAATATTATTATAATCTAATATAACTCTAAAATCCAAAATAATTTATAGGCAACTTCGAAACCGCAGTTTCCTTCACTGAATTGAAATGTGAAGTCGACCCCCGACCTGTTAAACAGCCGCATTAGAAGAACATATAGAAACATTGCACAAACTAAATACATTCATAAATGCATTTACATAGAAATTCTATTATCTAAAGGGATTTCTCATTGCAATAGTCAAGTCATTGGTAAATATACTACTTTAAATAGAAGTGTCTCTAATAAATAAGTTCTTTTAAACTCCATAGCAGCACATGATTGAAGAAAACTGGAAATGGCCATGACATTATATTGTTGCATTTTTTCATCAGTTTTTATGGCTCATATTTTCAGATACAGAAAAATATATGTACATGTTTATTTTATGCGCATCACACACTGAAGCAGAGGCTAACACTGAGCAGAGACTCTCCGGACGCACACTCAACAGCTCATCTAAACTACACTGGACTGCATGTAAACTCAAATATTACAAGTCAAGCCCTCTTTTGGTCCACTGTGGTCAAGAAAGAAATGCACCTCTCCATAAACAAATAGTCACTGAAATAAAAATACATAAAATTCGATATAGACGTCTTCCTCGCCCCTAAATCCTGCGTGTGTGTGTGTGCGCTCAGGTCTATTGCTATTGACACGTGCTTGAATACAGAAGCACAGACAGATCAGAGTTTGTCATGACATATATGTGCTTGGTCTCATGCTCTGTTTATATCATATTTGGATTGTATCATTTATTATCATCAGAATACGTATTTAAAATGACATTATAATATTTATAATAAAATACTATATAATAATGGAGTAACTACTAAAATAGTAAATGTAACACACTAAACAAACTACTGTCTAAAACAGAATCTAGACAAAATGAAACATTCATATTTCTTTTTATACAAAATGCATTGGCACATTTTAGTCCACCTGTTCTGCAACTTGTCCCTGTAGGCCCATATGTACTGTACATCAGTGTGGTACTTTCATGTATATTGTGTACTTGTATTTGTATTTGTACATATTGTAAGAGCAGTACCTTCTTGTTTAGGTAGTGTTTAACTGCACATAAAGTGCAGTACCTTCATGTGTTGTGTGTACTTCTACATGAGAGCAGTATTTTCATGTACCCTGTGCACATGTATAAGTGTAGTACACTGAAGTGTAGTGTTTATTGTACTTGTTCATAAGTGCAGTGCTTTCATGTGTGTTGTGTACTTGTAAAGTTGTAGTGTGTAATTGTACATATGCGCTGTAACTTGATGTGTTGTGTGCACTTGTACATAAAGAGCAGTACTTTCATGTGTTGTGTGCACTTGTACATAAAGAGCAGTACTTTCATGTGTTGTGTGTACTTGTACATAAAGAGCAGTACTTTCATGTGTAATGTGTACTTGTACATGATGTCGGTGTGAGTAGGACTGGTGGCCACAGGCTGAATGGAGAAAGCTTCACAAAGGCAGAGTCACTCACAATAAGAAACTGCAGCGACAACATAGAAACCCCATGGAGACGTGTAGTGTCACATGATGTCCTGTAGGGGGCGACAGTGTGCTAGTCTTTGTTGAATTCTCCGGCCTCCCAGCGCAGGGCCATGGCACTCTTACGGCGCACCCCAGTGTACGCCTCTGGGAACTGCAACAGACACAACAAACAACACACAGCCGTCAGGACTCACAGGATAAAGACTCTGTACCTT